CAATGTATTAATATATATATATATATATATATGAAAAGCATCCCTTAAAGTTTTGCGAAAGAAATTTGAAAATTCATCATTACAAGTTTTATAGGTAAAATTTAAAAAATTTTCCTCACAAATTTTGTGAATGAAACTTAGAATCTCTCGATACAAGTTTTTCTAATAAAACTTGGTAAACATATTAATTTCATATAACCTGCTCTCTCACTTAGGATAATGAGCCCCTCTATCAGTTGATCGATTAAAAGTCTCTATTTATTAATCTAACATCTTAATCTTAATAGATGAAAATAAATTTCTAAAATAAATAATATATTTCAATTATGCACAATATGTCAATATCCTAAAAAAGAATAACATCTTTTAAAATCTAATAAAGTATTAGAGATTTGAATTATTTTTCTAACAATTTCTCTCTCAACTAAAATTTTCAAACTTTATTTTCTTATTATCTTAGATATTCGTCACAATCATCTTCAATGATACTTTTGTTCTATCATATATCTTATCTTCATCCTATGAGTATTTAAATCATTAAAGTGAATATAAATATTCAATACTTAATTAATAAGCCAAAAGAGTGTACAAATCACGAGCTCTAATATTAGTGTTGAGAACAAAAACAACTTCTCTCTCTTTCTCTTTACACATAATGATGAGAGAACACACAAAAACATTATAAGAGAAATAAGAAAATATCACACAAAAATTTATTTAATATGGTTCAACATCTCATGTATATATTTACAAGGATATTCATATATATATATATATATATATATATATATATATATATATGAGGAGGAATTAGTTTATTCTACGAGTAAGTCTATCTAGACTTATTCCATTCAATAACTCATATTTTATATCAAATCTCAATTATCCGACCGTCGAATTTAAAGCTTTTAATACATAAATCAAATCTATAATTTAAAAAAAAAATAAAAATTATTTAATATTTCATTTCAATAATTCAAATTGACAGATAATCACATGTGTATCTATTTATGAAAATCCTTCTTTCAATTTTTAAGGATGAAACTTGAGAATCCCTCATAAGTTTTGAGAATAAATCTTAGAAACATTCAACAATTTTTTTTTTAACAAAAATTATATATAATTATATATCAGATAGATTTATGCTTTATTTGTATATATATATATAATATGACAATTTCTACTATCGGTAAAAAAAAAAAAAAAAACTTACAAATAAAGAGAACGAAAAGGGATAGAAAAAGATTTTGAGCGCTCTACACCGCTCAAAATGAAGAATAGAATCAGTTCCCGAAAAGAGAAAAAAACACACAGAATGTATCAAAATGAAGAATAGAATCAGTTCACGAAAAGAGAAAAAAACACAGAATGTAGGAATCAAAAGACTAATTAATGCCTATTGTATTTACATTTGTTGGACGAATAAAAATGCATGTAAATAATATAAATGAGAAGGGCCTAGCTACAAAACTCTAAAGATTTAAAATAATGGAAGAACAAACGAGAGAAGAGACAAACAATACCTCACCACCACTTACAACCGCCAGAAAAAATGAGGACGAGGAGATGGACGATTATGAATGGAGAAGGAAAAGGAGAAGGAGACGAGATAAATGAGCGCGGTTTTAAATAGAAGAGACAACAATGCCGAATGGTCCTATATTCGCCCTCCTTCCCCAGTGTGATTTTGTTTTCCGTTTTATAGATTATTTAAAATTAAATTCTGAAAATGAATTTTTTCTTTCACTTAATTATTAATTCTTAAATGAGTAATGCAGTGTCATAATACTCCCTAACATTTATAAGATACAAATTAATCTTTAATTTTTATTATTCATTTTTTTTTCGTCCCTAGAGTATCTATCGCCGATAGCAGTGACTAATTTTCTCGCTACGTTGGAAGCACCTCAAAGGGTAGGATAGTTGGTCTTAAAATTTAACGCGATTGCATACACAAGACAAAATTTGAACTCCTGACCTTGCTTAAACATGGATCAACTCCTACTGAATCACACACTTAGGATTTTTATTATTCATTTTGGTCCCCCACTATTCCTCAAACATTAATATCGTTAGTTAACTTATGAATTGACATTATGTGTCACTTTGGCAGCTACATGGTGCTATGTGTAGCCTATGTTGATGAACATCTACATTACATATTATTAGGAACCAAAATGACAATAAAGTCCATGATAAAATCACATGAAATGATTATCTAAATAAATACTATCATTTTAGTTTTTAATATACACAAATTTATCGTCATTTTAGACTCTAACAAATATAATTTATTATCATTTTTGTCTCTTAATAATAATTTTAAATAATTGCAAAAAATGAGACTTGAATCCAAATCTTTTAAGTTGTTAAAAACAACTTTAACCATTAAATCACAATGTTCATTTAGTAAATAAGTTACAAAATTTATTTATATAATATCTTGTATATAAATTTTACTCAAAATTCATTAAACTAATTAATGCTTTTATATAAGATGTCGTGCATATCAATTAATACTTTACTTAAAAGTTAGCTGGGAGAAAGATGAATCATTTAATTCATGAATTATTAATTTATAGTTTGTTAATCAAAGCGCAATTAAATCAACGTTGAATTAGTAATAATATTTTTTTTAATTTGTTTTACATATAATAAAATAAATAAATAATTACTATAATATAATTTAGTTAAAATATTAAATACATAATATGTAAAAAAATTATTATAATATTTAA